AATAGGAACCAGTTATTCAAAAGAAAATATTTTATATGGATACTTATAGTACTAATTAATATGCCATAGTCATTCTCTGTTTAACTTTCTTACATAACTCTGTTAGGTAATCTTGAAGACAGATTCCAGTTCTCCTGTCCTCTCTGCCTGCAGTTTTGTTGGTTCGTACAAGTAAAAATATGTAGCAGAAATGGTACAGTATCATTACTCAGATTAGTTCATAAGACATCATGATATCATTTGTGGGTTTTCTCTCACACTCACATCACCCTGTTGTGATCATCATGGGTCAATGAACTGAGACCTTCAAGAACAGCCGCAGGAAGTAACATAGAAATGAATCCTCCCCTGCCAGCCAAACCTTCAGGAGCACTGTGCCAGGGTGATACCACAAAAAAAGACTCCAGGCTTTCTGACTGTCAGAATGAGAAATACATGCTTGTTGTCTTAAATTTAGGAGTAACTTTCTCTGCAGTGAAATATAACTAATAATGAGGCTGCCAGAATATCGAAAGTCACGTATTCTTCTCATATTTTGACTATAGAACAGTACCAGGGCAGGGTCAACGTATCTATTTACTATGACTTTGAGCAAGTAACCTGGCATCTCAATGACTGATTTCTCATCTATAAAATGTAAATTCAATTAATATCCTGTAGTTAAATAAAACATTACGAAAAGTTTCTTAAACACCTTTAGCATATTCATTTGGGGCTGTGACATGGATTGATGTAGGCTGCTGGAGGATATAGTCCATTTGTCAGCTTCACTATACTTCTACATACCTGTCCCCAGAAATAAATCCTATGCTGTTATAAATGTCCTACTGTGGTTTAAAAATTCAAACAGAAAGATTTCTTTGATCTAGCCTTGTCATTTTACCTGTGGTTTTACAGATGCAACCATGGTGTTTCTAGAACACAGTTTAGAGAAACTAAATATAAACTTAGTGTTTGAGCAAAAAACATATCTGTGAAACACAAAGATGGACTGAAACACTGTATTTCAAGATATTTCTCATGACTGAAAAGAAGACATTTATTATTCATGCTTTATATCACAGAAAATGAGCAACAAATTTTTCCAGGAGGTAATACAGAAATTCGGAACTTCATCATAAACTAAACATCATGTGATTTACCAGAGAATACATTTATTATTCATGCTTTATGACACAGAAAATGAGGAACAAATTTTTCCAGGAGGTAATACAGAAATCTGGAACTTCATCATAAACTAAACATCACGTGATTTACCAATCTACGGAAATAGTGCAATCAACAAAAAAATAACATGATATATTTTAGCTGTGTTTGGCAAGAACTGTATGTTCTGTAGCTCCTAAAAAGGCTCAACTAACAGAGCTGCCTTTTAAAAGGACGAATTATGCGTGCTTCTAAGGCACTTTGCTTTTTCCTACAGAGAACTGGAATGATAGCTTTTTATTTCTTTAAATATATTTGGATGCGTTTTGAAGTGACAAGATAAGGACATTAAAACATGATGTTATATATCACTAACAACCATCAATATATAATGGAAGCTTAGTACCCCACTTATACTTCAGCCAAAAACCAGCTTCTGGTTTGTTCCCTAAAAATGTCTTGGTGAAATCCTTGCAAAAATAAAGACATGGGGGATTACATAAAGCTAAGAAGCTTCTGAACACAAAAGGAAACAGGTAGCCAAATCATGAGGTAACTGACAAAACGAAGGAAAATATTTTAAACTATGTATCTTACAGGGATTTTTATTCAGAATATCTAACAAGTTTAAGAAACTCAGCAATAACAACAAAAATAGTCCAGTTAAGAAATTGCAAAAAGATATGAAGATGAGATTTCTCAAAGAACACAACACAAATGCCAACAGACACAATAAAATAATTCTCATGATAACAAGCCAACAGGGAAATACAAATAAAAAGCATAGTGAGCTATCATCTCACCAAAGCAGGAGGTTAGAATGGCTACCACCCCCTTCCCCAAATGCTGGTGTGGTTATGGAGAAAAAGTAGTTTAATACATTGTTGGGGGGAATACAGATTGGTGCATCAGTTAAAGAAAACAATGTGGATATTTCCCTGAAAACAAATATATCTGCAATGTGACCCAGCTATTTCACTTCTGGAAAGATAGCCAAAAGAAATAAGCTCACAAAATGAATATGTTACTTGCACTTCCATGTTTATAGTAGCTGAATTCACAATAGCATAGTTATAGGAGCAATCTTGATTTCCACTAAAAGACAACTGCATAAAAAAGGTTGTGTAAATACATGATGGAATATTATTACATAGCCATAAAAGACACTATAACCAAATGATCAGAAATTGGGGTCTTTATGCTGAATGAAATTATCCAGACCCAGAGAGACAAGCCATACATTTTCTCTTATTTTGTGGAAGATAACACACACACACACACACACACACACACACACACGCATGCACATAAGAAAAGCAAGTGTGTATGACATCCTAAAAATGTCAATAAATAACATTCAGACTCTGCATTGAGCAATCTTTGATTAAGTAGAGAAGCTAGGTAGACAAGTATATAAGTAAGTTCAATTACAAAAAATATAATAAATGAAATGAGTGAGACATAAAAGACTCTAATAACTCAAAAAGGGAGTTGTTAGACTCAGCTGGAGTACTTAGGCAAGGTTTCTAATAAAGCCATCATCCTCAGTTTGGGCCGATCCCTGGTATCAATCTTGAAGCTTTTAGAAATCTTGATGACCAGGCTTCATCCCAGACCAAATAAATCAGAAGACATATGATAGTGGCCTGGGCATCAATATTTTTTAAGCTCACTGGATGATTTCAATGTGTAGTTGAGTTTGAGAACCATTATTGTAAGTGACAGGAGTAAGCAAGAAATAGATAGAACTGGACAATATGTAAATTTTCAAATCAAAGGAATATTACAAATTGTTGCTGAGATATTTTTATTTTCCAGGAATCATCAACTATAACATTCTCCGAAAAGCTTTACCTGATAAATCAAAGAGATAGCTTTAATTATCTTAATAATAGTAAAAGCAGATACTATTTGAATTCCCTTGCTACCTGCCAAATAACATTCTAATCTCTAACTGAACTGTATTTCAGTAATCACTGGTCATGATAACACTTGGAGAGCGAAAACTGAAATAGAGTGACTCCAGAATTCAAAGTTGAGTTTGAAGTTATTAAGTCTCCTACAGAACTTAACAATGACTCAAACATACCATGAAACATATTGAATCATAAATAATTATAAGATGATCTCTTCAACTACCAATTTTCCATTCAATGTGTAATTATGTAGCATATTATACTGAAAATGTACTTGGTACTAGAAATATGAAGTTTTTTTTTTTTATGTCATTTCATCTACCAGGAATTTTCAGATTAGGCTGAGGTAAACAACCTAAATTTAATAGGATAAATCTTACGAGCCACTTATTTTTTTTTACTTTTTATTATTATTATTATCACTTTATGATACAATTCCATAAGCTCTGGGCATTTCCCTTATCCTTTCCCCAATTCTTTCCCTTCCCCCCCCCCGCCACCTAGTTCCTCTATATCATTACTAAAATATAGTTCTTCATACTAAGTCATATGTCCATCATTGCGGGCATTGAGAATGACAGAGACTCATTTTTATAAATAAAGTTCTATTTTATCGGTTCATGCTCAATCTATAGCTGTTTTCAATATATAACGTCAGAGTTCAATAGTTGTAACATTGTCCATCTGGCTGCAATTACTGAAATATCTACAAACAGGCTCTTTACAGGAAAAGTTTACCAACCTCTGATCCTTAGAACAGGACAAAAAGAAGGAAAGAATAAGTGACTGCTCAAAAAGGTACATTCTATAGTTCCCTAAATACTACAACACAAAAGATAGATATCTAGGGCCCAGCATGGTGGCCTAGCAGCTAAATTCCTCATCTTGAACACTTTAGGATCCCATCCAGCTCCCTGCTTGTGGCCTGGGAAAGCAGTGGAGGACAACCCAGAGCCTTGGGACCCTGTACCTGCGTGGGAGACCCAGAAGAACTCCTGGATCCTGCCTTTGGCTCAACGCAGCTCTAGCCATTGCAGTTACTTAAGGAGTAACAGAAGATCTCTCTCTCTCTCTCTCTCTCTCTCTCTCTCTCTCTATATATATATATATATATATATATACATATACATACACATATATATAACTTTGCAATACAAAGAAATATTTTTAAAAACAGAGAGATATCTAGAGTAGAATAAAGGTGAGCAAAAGTTTCTACATAGTGTGATATTTGATCTGTTTCGAGCTCTGGGTGCAATTAATGAGACAAAGAAGAGTCAGAATTCCTGTAGCTCAGTAGGAACAATAACTTATCAAAGGCACTGCAGTAATGGCATGTACAAAGCAAAAAGTAGACACATTTTAGTTATGTTAACCACTTGTGTACAGCTTATAAAAATATAACTCTGATAAGTTGATCTCATTAACATTCAGTTGATACATATAGTTTGAACTCAACACATTCTCTAATAAAACAAATGTATTTCTTTTTAAAATTAGTTTTTATTGTTTTCCATCATAAGGGTTCCACCCTCCTCCCTCATTTTTCTCTCCCCAGTTTCCCCTCCCATCATTTTCCCCATATTTTTACAGTAGTATAGTCCGTTAGTACAGTTAAAAGATTAACATTCTTCTATTGAAGTACATCATGAAATTTTAGCTATAAGTAAAGACAGAAAATATAGTATCATATTGTCAAGATATCTTTAACCGCATCTCTACTCCCTAATAAAAGGAGGACTCCCAGAAATTTAATTCTTAATGTATGTTGATTTCAAAATCTAGAAAATGCTTGCAATCTCTTTAGTTTTTATAGAGACCCAGCCATAAGAATTCTTTTTCACCACAAAAGCTCTCAGTTCAATTGTTTTCACTTGTGCAGATGTATACAACTACTAACAGTATAGTTTCCTGAATGAAAAATATTAGCAACTGTACCTGGGAAATTCATAGGCAGCTCAAATGAATCTGGAGACTTGCAACCTTCAATAGGTTCACAAATTTCAGCTGTGATCTTCTTAATTTTGAGACCAATAATTTTAATCACATCTCCCGTTGCCAAACAACATTCATTTCCAAACATTTCATAAATGGAGCCTGTGGGGGCGGGGGAGAAGAAAAAGCAAAATAGCTTTAAAAAATGATTACACTAAATCTAGTGTGTAAAATTTCAGGTAAGTGTTAATACTCAGTTCTTTTCTTTAGCTACCTATGGAGGCTGAATCTAATGAAGTCTGGTAAAGAGTTTAGAACACAACAGAAAAAATATTAGATTTTTCACTCCATCCATTTGGAAAGCAAAAACATTTTCTTTATTACTATAAATTGAATTCATATTTTCCAAACACTTTTAGCTCATCTCTCTAAGGTCAACCTACAAACATGTCTTCTGCTGCTAGAATTTATGATCAGTTTTTGCTGGGTCACTGAATTAGTCTCATACACAACAATGATAAAAGTAAGTACCAAAAGTAAGGTGCAATGCAATCCAATGTCCAAAGAACTACGCAGGAGAGCCTTATTTGTGTATTTATTTGATGTGATTCTCTACACTATCATGAATATAAGACTTTTCCCACTTTTGTCTCTTGGTTTTTGATAAACTGGAAACAAAACATGATATTTCTATGGCAATAAAGGGCAGACCAAGCCAGATAATGGCAATCTCATTTAGTTCATGATTCTGTCTCCTTCTTGAGAAACCCTTAAACATAAATGTGAAAGATAAATTTTTCATTCATTAAATTTTCTTTTATTTAAAAAAAATTCATCCTTTGGTGCATGGGTACTGAGCAACGAAAGAATCAGAAGATGACAACAGGAAACAGGAAAGGCAAGCAGTGTCGATCATCTACTTGTAAAAAGGAAAAAACAGGCCGGGCGAGGTGACCTAACAGGTAAAGTCCGTGCCTTGCATGAGCCGTGATCCCATGTGGATGCCGGTTCTAATCCCGGCAGTCCTGATTCCCATCCAGTTCCCTGCTTGTGGCCTGGGAAAGCAGTGGAGACAGCTCAAAACCTTGGGACCCTGCACCGGCGTGGGAGACCCAAAAGAGGCTCCAGGCTCCACATCAGCTCAGCTCCGGCCATTGAGGCCACTTGGGGAAGTGAATCAGCAGATGAAAGATCTTTCTCTCTGTCTCTCCTTGTCTCTGTCTTTCCAATAAAAATAAATAATTCTTTTTTTAAAAAGGAAACAACTCAATACTATCTCTGTCATATTCTTTCTTTACAACTGAACAGTCAACTAGAGACTGATATAAACAAAACATAAGAACTTCAAGTTATTTGATGAGGCTTTTAAAACTTGACTTTTAAAATGATTTATATCCTTTTATTGCACTAAATATAGATGCATGAGCAAAAAGTTCTAGAGCATTCCAAGATTAAACGAGATTGGGCGCGTTCAGAATGGTATGGGGCCACAGACATAGAACATTCTCAGAATAATTCGAGTAGGTTTAGTGTAGGCACAATTTACTTATAGGCACAACCAGTTCTAGCCAACCAGCAACCCCCTTCAAAAACAATAAAACTCCTATGATCCACAACCCAGCAGAAGCCAGAGGACAGGAAAGACATTGGTGCCCTACAGAAATAAGTTTTGCAGGCAAAATATGATACCCATCATTCAATGAGTGAGGAGTGCTTTTGCAGACATGCTAATCTGTTCCCTGAGCTGAGTAACATGTCCATGACCTCCTGCTTTTTCCAAACCATTCCCTTGCCCACGTATGAGTCCGTGTTTATATCTTCATTAATTCTTCTTTTTTTCTTCATGATGCAGTTCCATAGTCTGAGGGATTTCCATCCCTACTCTTCCCAATTGCCTTCCCCCACACACTGTTTTCCCCTATAGTATTACAATAATATAGCCCTTCAGCAACAGTCACAAGTCCAGCATTCTGCTATTTAAATGCATCATGACATTATATGTATAGACATCAAGTACATAAAGTTAACAGCAAGTTCAAATCATTCATAGAACAAATTAAGATAATAAAAAATTACTTAAAAATCCACTGTCTCACTGTTTCCCAATGGATTCAACACAGTCTCTGCCTTGACTCTCATTTAACAAATTAATTACACACTAATATTTTATATCTTCAGTATTATCTCACTCTGCACCTAACTTTTATGAATATGGCTTTTATCACTTCCATTTGAATTTGATTTTATGATAGAAAATATAACATATTTTTTTGTGCAACAAGTCAACTTCCCTTTAGTCATTCAGTAAATTTTAATAAAATGTTACTTATGTATCAGGCATTATGATTGGCAGTAGGTATTACAGATAAAATACATAATCTCTTTTCCTCACAAGGACTGTCTTAAAGAGACTCGATAGGCAAGCAGACTGTTGCAAGTGATCATGAAAAAGTTATAAAATAGGAACTACAAGGCATTGTGGGAGCATGTCAGATACATTTCGTTAGGCAAAGAGATCAGAAAAGGAAGCCTGGAGGAGAAGACAGCACAGCTGAACTTTATAAGTAAACAAAGTATCAAGATGCTAGGACAGGCAGAGAAAACAACAGATGATAAGGTATTGAGATGTGAAAAAAATCTGATATACCCTGGAAACTTTAAGTAGTTTGCTATATCTAAAATCTCATCTAAGGATAGTCATATGGTACAGCAGTTAAGCTACCACAATGATGCAGTACCTGATTTGTGTCCCTGGATTTGCTTTGATCCTTGCCACCTACAGAGCAGAACTGTATGAAGTCCTGGGATCCTGCATGTGGCCTGACCCAGTTCTGGTGATTGTGTGCATAAGGGGAGTTAATCAGGAGATGGAATAGTAATCTGTGTGTTTGCCTCCTTTTTCAAACTGATAAAATAAATAAATAATTAATATGTATTATATGCAATCTAAGTAAATGACAGATGTGAACAAGGATTTTAGAAAGGTGGAGGAAGCCCATAGTGCACAGAATATTCATGAAATCGCCAGTAAACCAAAACCATTTATAGTCAGAAGTAATCTCAGAGAATTTATATTTCTGGTTACATGTGTCCAGAAAAAAAAAATTTAATAAGAGGTCAGTTGTACACTAGGTATTTTCTATCCAAATTGTAGTCTGGTGCATTACCTGGGACCTTATTATAATCTCTGCCAGACTCCAGCCCTGGCGAATTAAAACCTACATTTTTAACAAGATCCCCAGATGGTTTCTAAGTACATTAAGGCTTGTAAATCTTTGCTTTTGGCAAAAAGGTATGTAATTAAAATAACCTCTGCTTTTAGGCTGTGGCAAAATGAACTAGAGGAGGAGGAATCGCCATGCAGAGGAAATAGCCTGTATCACTGAGGTGGAGGAGACTGAGTGGAGACAGAGAAATGGAAACATTGTTAGCAAGGAAGTGACACAAAGAGACATTCTTTATCACATGAAATTAAGCATAATTTAACCACACCTACTTTACCTGATGCCTGCTGGGCTTAATTTCAATGCAATGAGTGTTTAATTATACGTTAAGATGTAATATATACCCAACTGGCCAACTGGGAACGGCATTCTTCTTTCAAAGGTTCACTTAAAACTCAAAATAAAAAGACAAACTTGCGTGGGATTACATATCAATTGGCAGAGACTAGAAGCCAGGGAATTCTCTGTGGAGAAAATTCTGTAAGTTTCAGTCACCGCACGAAAAGCATTTGACTTTTCATGTCTCTTGCCAAGCTTCTTCTTTATAACAAAAATAAAAGAAATTTCTTCCCTTTGGTTCACAAGAAAAAGAACCTGGTAGAAATAATAATCTTTAACATTTATCTTTAATATTTTGTCCCTTTTGGTCTTTTGTAATCAAGAGAGAAGTTAATTCACTTTTAACAAGTGATTTCCACAGGTACCCAGGACTAAAACATTTGGTCTAAACTAAATCATAGCAACACAGAGTGAATCTCAAACTCTTAAACTGAAAACTAATCATGCTTTGTGACCACCAAAACAATGCCTCTGAAAGGTATTTTTTCCTCACGGGTAATATAAAGTGATACATTCATAAAAAGCCATTTTCACAATTTCAGCATAAATATACATAATGTGTATTAGTGCTTTTTATATTTTTTCTCAGATAAATGTCTGAAATATGCTTATGTATAGATAGAAATACATATTAAAGTGGTCTTCATTTCATTCTAACCACAAAAAAATGGGTTTTGAATATGCAAGTCTAAAATCTATTAAATCTTTACAAACTGATCCTTTCCAAGCTAGAGCATATGTATTCATGATAATGTCAAACATCAGAGAAAGATGGAACAAAGCAGCCTGTTTTCAGTGATCAAACATCGTCCCTGAAGGCTGTAATGAAAGAGCCATGTGCCTTTGAAATCACCTTTTCCATAATGCTATTTTGCTCAATAAAAATGACACATTAATATCCTATTATGAGCTCATCCCTTGTTTCACAATCCATATAAGCAATGCTGTGATCACATAAGAACAGCTGAAACAAGTGGTTCAACACATTTTCTTCCATCTTCCCTACAAAGTTAACAACGTATGGCAGTTACAAATGAGGGTACTGCATTGTTTGGAGGCTTCCTCCCCCCCACCTTCGTTTGTTCCCATACACATTTATTTTCTGTTGCTTTTTAAAATATATTTTTACTCTGAATTCTGAATTATGTGGTACAATTTTGTTTAGGCTGGGATTGCCCCTCAAATTCCCACCCCCATCAGATTTCCCCCCATTTTACTATAATAGTCCTTCATAAGGAATCACAATTCTATCATTCTCTTATTTAAGTGTACCCTGACATTGTTGGTACAGACAATGTCTGGCAATCCAGCATCTCATTGTCTATACAAGTCCAACAGTTTCATTGGGAATCCATCTTTCATCTGAAAGCAGGGACGCATGTTCCATTATTCCCCCATGTCTGTATATGACAAATCCCAGTACTCCATCACTATACATTTCCATAAGAGGCCAAGAAACCAGGTCAACAACTAGTATGAGTTAGAACAGCACAACAACAACAGCAACATCAACAACAAATTATAGCAGCATGAAAAAAATACTGAGTAAACAACACATGAGTGACAAAAAAGAAAACACAAAAGTCTCTTGGGAAGAAT